CACACACACACACACACACACACACACACACACACACACACACACACACACACACACATGCCATTAGAGCACCCCTCTAGTTTTCCATCATGGTTTGGAGGCAACAGTGAGTTCTTGAATCTTATGCCAGAAAAACACAAGGTCTGGCAGCAGGTTCTCTCAGTCTGTAGTTAGTCATTGTAGTTGTTGATTGTTTTATTGATGCCTTTTGTTTTTATTCCACATTTTCCAATATTGTCCTCTCTTGTAAAAATAACGATAACAAAAAGTAGAGTAAAACCTCGACCACTATTGCATCTGATACATTTGCAAACACTTCCTCACACATAGTCCTCCGTTTCTCTACAGAAAAAGAGGGAGGTATAGTTAATCATCTCTTCTACCAAGACTTGTCATTATAGTTAATCAAAGTTGGCTGCCTTTTAGTGTTGTTTTCATTTATACTATTTAGAATTATTGGGATGTACTCTCCTCCTGGTTCTGTTTATTTCACTCTGCCTCAGTTAAAATCTAAGCCTGCACATCTTTCTCTGAATTCCTCAATTATTATTTTTTACGGCCAAGTCTTATAATATACCAATGCATATAAGGTAGAGATATTAAACCACAGAACAAAAGTTTGTGTATATGTATTAGAGTAGACCCTTATCTATATTTAACATGATTGTAAAAAGCATGTCACAACTTTTTTTCTAATACATGTAACCTTTAAATGTATGTTAAATGATATATAAATAAATGTTCAATGATGTATACATTGATGTACTAAATGGCTATTTCCTATTTAAGTTTAAAGAGGATCATCACCAGGTTGAGTGAAGGTTGGTAAATTTTTCAGTCACAGCAACTCTCAGATTTACCTACTAAATTGCAAAATGGTTGAGGTTTGCATGTGGAAAGGAATACCCACACCAACAATATTAAAGATCTTTGGGGTTTTTAGTTGTGCATATTAAAATATAAATCTAAATATGCCTTTGAAGGTTTATCATTTTTAAGTATTCCAACTTATAAAATATACTATAGTATTATCAAACAGCTCCCTCTGTTGGATTATTTCTGATATCATACATGCAGTTTGAACATCTTGTTATTCTTTTTATCTAGGTCGAACCGGAAGATACACACTAATAGAAAAATGGAGAGATACAGAGAGGCATTTAGCACCTCACGAAAATCCAATTATTTCATTAAATAAATGGGGACAGTATGCCAGTGATGTACAACTAATATTACGTCGTACAGGGCCATCTCTTAGTGAGAGGCCAACTTCAGACAGTGTTGCCAGAATACCTGAGAGAACTTTATATAGACAAAGCTTGCCCCCCTTGGCTAAGCTGAGGCCTCAGAATGACAAGTCAATAAAAAGGCGAGAGCCAAAAAGGAAATCTTTGACATTTACAGGAGGTGCCAAAGGACTCATGGACATTTTTGGGAAAGGTAAAGAAACAGAATTTAAACAAAAGGTTCTCAGTAACTGTAAGACAACAGCAGATGAATTGAAAAAGTTGATCCGCCTGCAGACAGAGAAACTTCAATCCATTGAGAAGCAGCTTGAGTCCAGTGATGTGGAAATTAGATACTGGGAACAAAAGTACAATTCTAATCTGGAAGAAGAAATTGTTCGTCTTGAGCAGAAGATCAAAAGAAATGATGTAGAAATTGAAGAGGAAGAATTTTGGGAAAATGAATTACAGATTGAACAAGAAAATGAGAAACAGCTGAAGGATCAACTTCAAGAGATAAGGCAGAGGATCCTAGAATGTGAAGGCAAATTAAAGGACTATTTGACTCAAATCCATAGTATGGAAAGTGGTCTAGAGGCAGAAAAGTTACATCGGGAAGTACAGGAGTCACAGGTCAATGAAGAAGAAGTGAAAGGAAAGATTGGTAAGGTCAAAGGAGAAATTGATATTCAGGGACAACAGAGTCTGAGGTTGGAAAATGGCATTAAAGCTGTAGAAAGATCTCTAGGACAAGCCACCAAAAGGTTACAGGTGAGAAAATACCATTTTACCTAAGGCAATTTCAAGTTACATATTTAAACGTTAAGAAATACATTAGTCCTTGGTTTCATTCTAATTAGCCACCAGGTTTGGGGTTTTTTTTTCCTTCCATTTTAAGTGTTAGAAATAGATCTCTGTCTACAGTAGCATCTTACTAGAAGCTTGTACGTTATGAAGGAGCCTGGAAGTGACCAAGATATTGATAAATGATTGGTACTCAGAAATATACAGAAATAAAAAATTTACATTTGTACTCTATACAAAAGCATTTTCATTTGAAATAACAGCCCCCAAAAATGTATTTTTTGCTTTTCTCATGGTGTAAAAATGACCTCTTAGAAAAAATGTCAATCTAAATAAAATTGGCTTTATGACTGAGTACCATTTTTTTTTTAGTTTTTTTTTTTTTTTTTTTTGGTGAGGCATTCAGGGTTAAGTGACTTGCCTGGGGTCACACGGTGAGGAAATGTCAAGTGTCTGAGGTCCTCAAGTCCTCCTTACTCCAGGGCTGGTGCTCATCCACTGAGCCTCCTAGCCACACCTACCATACATTTTAATTCTATAGATGGTCACTCACAAGTGACTGAAAATGTTATTTCACAAAATAGTTGGTTTGGGAATAGAGAGTATCTTAATACTTTTCTCTCTTTTTGAACCTGCACCTAGGACAAAGAACAGGAGCTAGAACAGTTGACTAAAGAACTTCGGCAAGTCAATCTTCAACAGTTTATTCAGCAGACAGGAACAAAGGTCACAGTTCTTCCAGCAGAGCCCATCGAAGTGGAGGCCTCACAGGCAGACATAGAAAGAGGTAAAATAGGGAAATTTCCCTGGAGGAGATAATCTTTTTTTTTCCCCCTTTATTGTCTTGATCAGCTTTGAATGAACTATCCACACAGTTTCATAGTAATTGACTAAACTGCTACTTATAATTTATTATTTTTTTTTTTTACAAATTAACACTGTTATTAGTAATCTTGAAGGAACATGCAGAAAAATATACAAACTAACTAAACCTAATTTAACTCTGTTTCACTTCCTCAGACATAATACAACTATCATAATTGACCAATTTGAATCTTATCTACTCTACACAGTCTAATTTCTTTTCTTCTTCCCCCTTAATTGAAGTTATATTTCTAATTTGGCATGTATTTTTCTTGTAGTATAGTCATTTCAGTCATGCCCAACTCTACAGGACCCCATTTGGGGTTTTCTTGGCAAAGATACTAAAATGGTTTGCCATTTCATTCTCTAATTCATTTTATAGATGAGGAAACTGAGGCAAACAGGGTTAAGTGATTTGCCCAGGGTCACACAGCTAGTCTGAAGCCAGATTTGAACTCAGGAAGATGAGTCTTCCTGACTCCAGACCTGGCAATTTATCCACCTAGCTACAGCAACAACAACAATAGGTATAGTCCCAAAGTATGCCAGAAGGCCAACATAGCATAATTTGGCCAATCACGCATATAGCATTGTTTCTGTAGAACTACAATATTGTTTCATTAGCAGTATTGTTTTTTTTTTCAGAAGTAATTATATAATTGCAAACTAATCCACAATTGTAAAGTAATTGTGCATTGTAAACTAAAACAGCCAGTAGAAAGAAGAAAATTGATCCTTTTTAAAAGGTGCATCAACTAGATCACCAAAAAAACAATTTACTGAATAGACTTTCATGATCTGAGATAGGTAAAGTAATACTAGGTCCTTTATAGAAAGATAGAAAGTTAGTAATTTTTAATTTTAAAATAATAGTTAAACTTTATTAAATAACTTTTCTTGTTTAGAGACAGCATTCCAGTCTGGGTCTTTGAAACGGCCTGGTTCATCTCGGCAGCTTCCCAGTAACCTTCGAATTCTTCAGAATCCAATTTCATCTGGCTTTAATCCTGAAGGCATATATGTATAATAATGCCCACCACTTTGGGAAAGGACCAGTAAAGGCACCAAGGGACCGCACCATATTCTTCTCTTGGAATAGTGCCAATGATATGCGGAGGAAGTATTTCTGTAAGCCACTGTATCTTTTGTTTTCTCCCCCATCTTGCAAACACTTGGATCCATACCCAGTGCACTGATGCAGATGAACAAAGGAATTGTGTTTCTGAATATCAGCAGTGTTGAAGTTTCTGTCCAGCAGCTGTAATGCAAAGCTGTCATTTTTATTTGTAGTATTTTAAAAGCATTAGGAAAAGTATTATTCTGTGTTTATACCTAAATAAAATAGTGACTGAAGAGAATGGAGGAAAAAAATGTGACTGACTTAAAAATTTAATTTATTCCACTGAATTGGTGGATGTGTGAATGTTCATTTTTAATATTTTTTTTGCCATTGCTTAACTTGTGACTGATTACTTAAAATATTGTATGAACCTGAATGTGTGTGTACATGTGTCCAGACTTCATCCATACCTTTATTCACAATGACAGAAATGTTGTGGGGTGCTCTGTCTTTTGCATTATTGCTAAAAGAATCACTTCGTATGTGTTGTGTGAGTGGTCTTATCCTTTGCTTTAGATACATTGGTGGGGAATAATATGGCATCAGCTTGGTCAATTCATATTTTTTAAATCTGAAGAGTTTAGCCTTCTTTGAGTATTTTCCAGCACATGAAGGAGAATGCACTAGATAGAAATATTTTTATTATATAGAATGTATATTTCTAAGTTTCTGCCATGTTTCAGACCCTGTTGGACAAAAAAAGTGATTATTGAATATCTTACCAAGTAGATTTGAGATTTAATGTAGGTTATTTTTGTCAGCCTTTTTTTTTTTATTTGCTCTATTAACCCTTAGGATTTATTAAAATACAATTACAGATTAAGATCATCTCTTTAATGAATGTGACTTTAAGTGATGCCTCCTTTTGAAAGCCCACTTCCTACGTAGGGCCAACGAAAACAGATACTATGAATGTTACTTCCTGGATATAGTTGATTGCATGGATGCTGGGTCACTGTGCCTTCTTAATCACTTAGGCAAAGACAAAGGAAGAAGTATGGGAGTCAATAGATCCTACTAAGGGCATAAAATTGATATGAATTCACCACCTGTTATTAATTTTTTAGAGTATTTCTGACAGGACATCATATGTTTTAATTTATATGTCCCACTTAATGAAAGCCAAAAATAGTGTAGTTCCCTGCCGCACACACACACAGAATAAATGACTGCCTAAAATTCACAACTAATACCCTAATGTATGTTACTTGTTAGCACTTTTACATTCCCTATGACCAAAATCCAGCATTTCATAAAGCTTTATCTAAAAAAGAATTTTTTTTTGAAATCTGGAAAATATGCACTCTGTTTCCTCAAGAAAACAAAAACTTGTTTCAAGGTTGTTTTAAAAACAGTTAACAGAAGCAGATTTTGGCCTGTTCATGAAAGGAAGTTGGGATCTTAGGTTTCAAAATATTTGCATTTTCTTTGATATCATGAACACATGACAATTGAAGCTTCCTAAGAGAAAGTGAAAAAGGCCTTGCCTAGGAAAAGTAAATCCTTGAAGCAAAATTATTTTCAGCTATCCAGATAAATTGGAAAGTGTCAAATATTCTCCTTAACTTCTACCTCTCCAAAATGAATCAAAAGGCTTGTATTTGATATTTGCCACTATTGTAGAAAATAATTGGTTCATTCACTAGTTTTTGTGAATAACTTGGACATTGTTTGGGCCTTCACAACTTTGCTCTCAGTTTACATGATTGTCTTTTCATTCATATCCTTTTTCTTTTTAATTAGAAAATTGGGGATATTTTAAAAGTCATCATTTGGAGACTATATTTCAACAAAAATATTGGAAGATGGACACCCAAAATATGCCTTACTACTTTTTATTTAGAGACCTCTTATTCACAAGGAAAAGTCTTCTTGATGAATACAATATATAATTTGAAAATATTCTGAGTGTAGTGAAAGAATACATAGAATTGTTTTAAGAATTGTGAAGAAAAGGGAAACTTGAATGGCATAAAATCATGTGCATTAATATGAAAGATTTCTGAAACTTCTGGGAAAACAGATATAAGACACTTTCTCCTTGTTATCATATTCAGAAACGTCAGCATTCCTTAATAAGTATAATAAGTATAAAACATAGTGTAGCCACATATTTAAATCTGCCTCATGGCTCCACAAGTATAAGGAGGGTCCCTTTTTTAAGCTTAAATGTAAAGTGGAAGGGAGGTGGTAAGAATCCATTTTCCAATAATCTGGAAAACTTTGGATCCCAAGCCCAGTCATTTAATCTGCCATGAACAAAAATGGCCATATCTTTGGCTATATTGAAGGAAAAAAAGTAACTTGCAAACTTGAATAACATAGATTATAGAATTTATGTTTACATGTTTTTTATATTATCTGGATATTTAATATTATACAATATTTTAATACTACAGATTGCCTTCAAATTTGTGTTTTACTAAAACTTTCAGAAAGAGGGCACTGCAAGATCTTTTCTATTAAAGACTAAGTTGAAAAAGCATTGGCATACTTGCCTTTGAGTGTCCCTCATTCAATGAAAATTGCCAATGCATGTGCCTAAGTGGTTTTGTTGTGCTTATAAGAGATTTTAGTTCACCAGCATCTGCTTTTCCTTTCAACACACAGGGGACATATGTGTAATTTCTATTAGCATTAATAGAAGTTGCACGTGCAAATCCCTTGTTCATCAATACTAATAATCAGTAGGTCATATGAGTCATTCTTTAACCTAAGTGAAAAAAGACTAACAAAAGGAATAATGGGATTGATGGGGTAAAATTAGAAATCTGTTTAAGGAGGAACAAAAATCGGGACCATTTTACAACTAAATATGGTACCTTTTTTAAAAGCTAATTTTCTTTGTGAATAAGAGCAAATGGTCTTTAGATAAAATGATGTGAACATCATTCCAGGTTTAGAACTATGATTGATCTGAAATAATCTAAAACTTTTGATTTCAGAAGGTGCAGAGGAAGTGGGACAATGGACAAATTTCTAGTGTTCCTTACCTTTACATAATTGGGCCTTAATTACCTATGTAAATAAAATGGTTTTAATATCGTCCCCCCCCCAAGTTGTTTATGATAGCCTATATTGTATTAAAATATCGAAGAAGTGTTACTTTTATATTATGTCCATTAAAAAAAAAAGAAACATTGCATGTTTATACTATTTGCTACAGTATTTTAACATTTTGGATAAAGGCCATCAGCTGTATGGAGAAGACAAAGCAATCACTATTTATTCAGTATTACTGCTTTACGTTTTCAGAATGAAGCTTTCAGTGCTAATACAATTATTGCTTGAAAGCTGCAGTAGCTGTATCAATGCATTTTATATATTTTTAGAAACCAAAATAAATGCAGATAACTATTTAGTATGTTAAACCAGCAGAGATATAATGGCAATAAAATATATACATGTTATAAATATATCTATATATAATGTATAGGGAAAGGGGAAAGATTTTAAAATAGGTTTACAACCAGATATGGTATCCGCCCGAAATATAATTTCTCATATTCCTCTTTTTTATTGTAAGGTACTTGATTAGAAGATTTCAGTTGCTGCTGCTTTACACAGAAAATGCCATGTTCACTAAGTGTGAATACAGGAAAACAGCTTTTTTGTGCTGCTTTGCTTAAATACAAATCACAGTTCTGTAATCTGTACTATATGTAATTATTCTTTTCTTTTGACTGTCATTTCAAAAATGTATATTTTCTGATTATTATCATGAATTGTTAATGCTATAAAACAAACGATAAATATCCGATATTCTCCTATATAATAAATTCCCATGACTAATTGGGGTTTTATTATTGGTGGTTTCTTGGAATATATTGCACACTTTTTAGTTGTAATAAAACCTAGTAGTGACTCAATTGAAGGATATCAAATACAAAAGATGCATATCTTGATTACAAAGCCACACAATTTTTTTTCTCAATTTAGTAATAATCATTATGACTAGAAAAACATCTTTTGTCTCTTATTGAAAAATATCTTCCTTACAGGTAGAAAATCAATTATTTCTCCAAAGCTACTTAGGAACAATAATCCAAGTTATAACTGAGAGAATGATCAAAACTACTTTTATTGAAGTGAGATTTGATAGAACATTCCCACATTGAACTTTTACATCCCACCCCAATCCCCTAACTGAAACAGACTCAGTAAATGCCCATGTTCAAAATTCTTACTTTTGCCTCAATGTACTCTCAGAATTTTTTGGTAAAATGTATAATCATAAAAAGTTTTATGTGAACATTTCTATGATGGATTATGTTTTTGACCTAGGTCATGGGATGAAATAAAGTAGCCATATATATGTCTGGAAATATGTTATAAAAGCAGATACAGACGTGAAACTCGAGTAGAAACAAAATGGAGTACAAGTGTTTGAGCACAGCTTCCCTATACAAATACACAAAAGATTTTAACTTTCCTAGTGGAATGAGCTCCCCATGTATGAACACAGGTGGAGTGGGAACACACCATTCATTTATGACTTTTTAGATGAGTCCTAGGAACTTGACCAAGGCAGTGACTTACAGTTATATATCTAGCAAATATTGGAGTAAGGATATGAACCCCAGTCTCTGATTCCAAGCCCAACAACTCTATATGCTACACCAAGCTGCTGCTGCTTCCATTTTGCTCTACATCACCTCAAAAAGACCAACAACTGCATACAACCAAATTCTCTCTCTCTCCCTCTCTCCCCCTCACACACACACACACACACACACACAACCTCTACAAGAAAGATAACCTTACTGAAAAGAAAAAAAGGTTAAAAAGCTCCAAAAGAATAAATGGGGTAAGATAAAATAAACAAACATAACATGAAAAGTGCCCAAATTGAAACAAGATGTATTAAGAGTTTTCAGAGTAGCTAATAATCTCAGTAAGAGAAACTGAGGAACAAAAATGTACATCTATAAAAATGGAATTGAAATCAATGAAGAACAAAGACCTGTGAATAAAAGACTCAATAGTCTTGAAATCTAGAGTTGTCTATAACAAAACTGAGATGCTGTGCTTTATCCATATCCTCACAGTTAGTATGCATTAGAGGCATGAGTTGAACCCAGGTCTTCATCAAGCCCAAATCTCTATCTGCTATCCAATACTATCTCTCAGAACATTTAACTAAACAAAGCCAAAAGAATAGCATAACTGAAATGATTTGCAAATGCTAACAGTTAACAGTAAAATTAAAGGATAAAGCTGAAAAAGACCACCTGAGCATTAATTTCCCCCTCTCCAAAATGTGAAGAAATAAAGTCATGTGTTTTGCTGTTTTTTTTTTTTAATTTACTGAAGTCCTTCAAGACATTTATGAGGAGACCAGAATTAGCTCAAGTTTTCATGGAAATTGACCATGAAAGAAATCCTTAACAAGGTAAAGTGTTTTAAAAAATGATGGATGAATGTGTAGACTCAGCAGAATTTGCATTCCTTTAAGGAGCAACTGTGATAGCTGGGAAAATTCTAGAATTTATCATTAAAACAATGGTTAGTTGGCATCTAGGAAAGCAAGTAGTGTTCATATCACAAAGAACTTCACATGGCTTCAAGAATATATCATGCCTCTCAAAAAAAGTATATCATGCCAGATTAATCTTTTTTTTTTTTTGACCTGGTTGCTAAATCAGTAGATCAGGAATAATGACTAAAATGACTGAACAATTTAAAGCCATAAACTTGGGTTCAAAAGTACAAGAAAAAGATGTAATTAGATATCACTTTTTATTTTAAAACCTCTAGTGCTTGTAATGGAAAACATGGGTAGTTTGATGTAACATTCAAAAAAGCCAATGTGATGTTAGGAACTGCATTAAGAAGCATAGCTTCTAGCAAAAGGTAGTCCCACTTATGCCTACATCAAACTATCTCTGGAGTATTGTGTCATTATAAATGAATGAATGAATGAATAGCATTTATTGTTTATTATATGTCAAACACTAGTTTGGCTAGCACTAGTACTGTTAATATACATCATCATAGAGGAGACCACACATATGAAAGTAGTAGCCAGCCTGTAAGTCAGGAGGATGGTGAATAGAGCCAGGTGCTATCAAGAGGTATGCCTTTCCAGAACTAATGATAGTATTGATTTAATTATAGTTACTAGGACAAAAGGTAGAGAGCAGAGGCAAGAAAGGTGGAGTGGTGTATATGTGTGCATCAACAGAGCAGGGAACAAAAAATTGGAGGGGCTGTGAAGCATGCTTGGGGCCATTTGGATATAATAGGGCAAGGGAGTTTGCGCTCTCTAGTTAAGATACCTGATCACAGGGCAGAAGTTCCAAAGATGAGTAGATTAAATCCTCCAGGATATGGTTTCTAGAGGTCCAGAATGTGCAGAAAGGATTCACAGCAAGGTAGATGGTAAGATGGCTGGGGATGCATACCATAGTTTGGGAAAGATTCTTTAAGTTTGAGAATGTGCAGAAGAGGATGTCACCATCTAGGATGGTAAAAGAGCTTTGAATCCATACTGTGTGAGGATGCATTGAAAGAACTTGGGATGTTTAACCTGAAGTAGATTCAGGGGGTATGATGACTATCTTCAAGTATTTAAAGGTTCATGATATTCTGTGGGTTCACACTCCCTTAAAACCACAGCTCATGAACTCCAATAAGTTGATTAGTCTGCTGGAAAATGCAATTAATTAAAAGCAAAGTCATTTAATGAAATAGCATAGTAAGAAAGGTAAGATATTTTACCCCATAAAGCTAGGGCACAAGCTCCTACAAAGACATCATCATTGGAAAGAATGGACAGACATAGAAGATCATCAGGGAGTAGGAGGTAGCCACAAGCAGGAAACACATGGTAAGGGAGGATGTGTAAGAGTTCAGCTCACACGCTGATGTCTTCTGGTCACACTGAACAAGTATTTAAGTGTTTACTATGTGCCAGTCACTGTGCTAGACTCAGGACACAAAAGAAGAACCATGGTCAAGGAGCTCACATTTGAATGGGAGAGACAATATACAATTATGTACATACAAGATATATGCAGAATAGATAAAATATACCATCAGAGGGAAGGCATTAGTGGAAGAGGTTGGGTCCAGGAAAGACCCCCTGAAGAAGGTGGGATTTGAACTAAATCTTGAAGGAAACCAGTAGGTTTAGGTGAGGAGGAAGAACATTGGGGAGGAGCCACTGAAAAAAACAGTCAAGAGAATGGAGTATCATGTGCAAGAGATAACAAGGCCAGTGCCACTGAATGAAACAGTTTGATGGCTATGTGTATAGAAAGGAGACTGTATACCAGAGATTTTGTGAAGGTAGAAAGGACAAGACTTGGCAACAAATTGAATTTGTGAAATGAGTGCCAGAGATTGTAAATTGAGATTGTATATCTGAGTAACTGGGAAGATGGTGGTGTGGTGTCCAGTACATGAAGAGGGAAGTCTGGAAGAGAGGAGGGTTGGGAAGCAAAGATAGCAGGTTCTGTTTTGGACATTTTGAGTTTTGAGATGTCTGTGGGACGTTTAGCTCAAAGTACCCAGGAGATGATGACGTGAGATTGGAGCTGAGGAGAGAACTTAGGGCTGGATATATACATCTGAGAATCACCTGCATCAAGTTCATTGAATCATGGTGAAATCATGTTATTCTACTGGACTCCACTCTCCACTGTCTTTTTGTCTCTTACTTTCTGGTGCTTATTCTTGTACTGTACTCATTGCTGCCACCTACTGGGCATTGATATAATTAGCTGAGGAGCCACTTCTCTATGGGTGTTAAATCTATTGAAATTTATTTGGCAGCATCAGTCCCTAATATTTCAACATTATGTTTCCATAGCTCCTGACCTACACCTTCCCAACATTTGGCAAATAGATTATGAGCTATAAGCATTTAAATGATATGTATCATAGCATAAAAATCTAAATGTTTAAACTGGATCAACAATCTCTTTGATCTGTGTTCTTCCAGTTCTGTGGATCATGACCTATTCATGCCTGCCCACCCTGTGCAAACTCTGACCATTTCTTTGCATGAACAGACCAAAGGGGATCCATATAATGTGATGCAGACCTGACCACATCCTGTTAAAAAAAATGCAGACAAAAAAGGGAAATCAGAAGCACAGAAAAGCAAGACAGCTTTGAAAACTTCACGTTGTACTTACTGTACCCTTTAAAAAAAAAGTAAGCTGTCTATAAGAGAGACCAGCAGTTTTATGCACAATCCTCTTTTTCTGTCCTACTAGGTGCATGCAAATATACATCCTATTTGTTATTTATTAATTTCAGAATAAAATTTAAAATTACAAATAAAGTGTGGGGCAGTTGTAAAGAAGGCTTTCAAGTACAACAAAGTCTCAAAATTGGCAAACTAAACAACACAGACAAATCACAAAAAACTCACTTTAATTTTTACCTATTGACTCTCCTTTATATCTCTTCCCAGACATTGTCTAAAAAGTAAACAGCCAGAAAAGATGGAAAAAATGAATGGACTAGATAATCATACCTTGAAAATTAAGAGATAAGTCAACCAAAACAGGCTCAGGCTAGGGCAGGTCCAACCATTCCAGATACCATGCCAATCTCAATTCTCCACTACCTGAGGAGCTTGGGTCCTTTGCAGCACTCCCTCTAACTTCTGTTTTGATTAGTAATCTTCATATATTATGATTTTTCATTTTTTGCCAACTGAAATTGCCAGGCAGGTAGGTGGTGCAGTGGATAGAGCACCGGGCCTGGAATCAGGAAGAGCTGAGCTCACATCCAACTTACTAACTGTATGACCCTGAGCAAGTCCTTTAACCTCTATTTGT